CGGGGGGCACGCAGACAAAACCCCCCACATTTTGAGGAGCTTGAAGTCAGCCGATTGGGCTACGGCGTCGCGACTGAGCTCGGGGTAGCACCGTCCGGGGCCGAGTTAATGAACGGGCTACCGTAGTACTGCTGAAATGTCCGGTTAATTGGTGGAAGAGACGGAGGTTTAAAGTCCCCCGTGAGATCCACTTTTGACCTCTGATGCGGCGATTTGAAGTCCCGATGGCTTGGTTGGGGGTCTCGGGGGTATATGTGCCCGATCACCAACTGCACTTACAACTTCAAGGTCGAAGAGTCCAAGTTATGGATGAAGATATTTGGATGAGAAAAGCCATCTCATCTGATATCTTGGTACTTTGTCACTTTGTTCTATTCATTGTTGCTGACTGCCTCTCACCCGATATCTTCATCGTATATAAGCTGCACTCCCATTTCACAAACATCCCCTTCAAACCCTGCGCTCCCCGGTAAACCTCGCCATCCAGTCAAAAACAGTCTTGTGCCAAACCATTGAGTTCTCAGGGTTCAGCACCCAATGACACTCATCATCAAACGTCAAGAACCTCGTCTTGACGCCCTGGCACATGAGCGTATTGTACGCAGCAATCCCCTCCGTGATAGGACACCTGTAATCCTTCTCGCTGTGAATGATCAACGTCGGCGGCGCGTGCCTCCAATTCCGCAACAGCTCCGGCCGCGCCGGGTTCCACCGCTCCATTTCCTCGGCATTATCCCACAGAAAGGGCGGCCCCCCGAAGTCGGGCCCGCCGTCGACGACGTCGCTCTGCAGCATGAACACAGGCAGACTGAAAATCCCGTCGTGCCAGATGGAGCAGGCGAAGCGGCGGATCAGGTCGTGTCCGTTCATCCAGGAGATCATGTACCCGCCGTACGAGGCGCCCGCGACGACGGCGCGGTCCTGGTCGAGGTAGGGGACTTGTTGCAGGTGGTCCATGAGGCGGACGAGGTCTTGGAAGGGAGCGCCGCCCCAGGAGCGGTAGATGCGGGCTGTGAAGTCGACGCCGTAGCCTGTGCTGCCTGCTATGTTTGGCGCGATGAGGACGTAGCCTTGTTGGGCCCAAAGGGCCATGTTCCACTGATTTCAGGTGTTAGTTGAGGGTGAGTATACGAGACGAAAGAGGGGACTGGCTAACCCTTGTCGACCATGAATCCGTCCAAGACGATTCCGGCCCACCGTGAGGTAAGAGAATCCAAGGGTACTTCTTGGTCTTGTCAAAATTTGCCGGCTTGATGATGAAGGAGTGCACAATGTTGTCGCCTTCGCCCTCGTACCAAAACTCAGAGACCATGCTGTGAGACAACCCGTACTTTGCGCCGTGTTTCGTAGCCGACGACACAGTCTTTGGCGCCGTTTTCAACGAGACGTCGATAATCTGCCACAGGCTGCTGTCAAGGAAACTATTGCTCGTCACCAGGACCTTGTCATAGCTGCCCTCCTTGAGAGGGTAGAAAGCCGAGACGACGCCGCTCGACGTCAGTGTCGTCGCCTCTGCATCGTGACGGAGCTCCACGTGCGACAGCTTCACCCGTCCGCAGTCTTCCGTCTGCAAAAAGATGGCATCAGAGCTGCCCGCGAACTCGAACCCCTTGGGCGGCAAGCTCGGCCCGTTGCCAAAGATCATCTTGTGCACATCGTAAGCGCCAAAGGACGCCGTGTGGCCCATGTACAACCTCGCGTCCGCGGGGTTGTCGAGCGGCTCGTGCAAGAATGCAATCTTGGCGCCGTCGGGCGAGAACCTCACGTTGGAGTAATACGCCTTGGCCTCCGATATGCCCATGACGAGCGGCCTGGGCTTGGCACTCGCCGCGGCCGAGAACGACGTGAGCGGGACGTAGTAGACGTGGGAGGCGCCCGCGTCCTCCGGCTTCAGCCCGGTGTCCTCTGCGATGAAGGTGATGCCTTTCTCACTGACGTCGAACGCGTCCGTCGGGTCGCTGACGTCGTACATGCCCGACGGCGCCTCGAGACGGCTTCCCTTGATGGCGTTTTGGAGCTCGCCTGCGACGCCCCATTTGCCGTGCGCGTTGACGAGAGTCGAGTACCAGAGGGCGTATTTGTGAGGTTTGATCAGTTCGTTCCACTAACACGATATTAGTCACGAATATGTCACCGATTTACATCCCCCAACTTACACGCCTCATGTGGTAATCGTCAAAGATTCGCCCGGTGGACCTCTTCTCCTCGGTCTTGTCATTGAACAGAGACCCGTCGGGCCCTACCAGCCCAGCAACGACGAAGCCGACACTCCCATCACCCAGCGCCTTGACCTTGAGCGCGCTGATGGGCGCATCATACTCTGCAGCGACGTAATGCTCCTTGGCCGGCTCGGCGCCGTTGGCGATCCAGATCTGGGTGGTGCCCTTGTCGCCGGATTTCAAGTAGACGATGTCGCTCGCTGTGCCAGGCAGCCACAGGGCGTCGTGTACCTTGTCGTCGTCGGTGAGCTGATCGGAGGCGCCGGACTCAACGTGCATGAGGCGGACCTCCTTGAGGGTCTTGTTGTCGTCGAAGCTGTGGGTGGATTGGGTGTAGAGGATGAGCTTGCCGTCCGGGCTCGGGACGGCGGCGCCGCGGCGGGGTGCGCTCAGGAGCACCTCGGGGGTGAATTCCTTTGCCACGCGCATGTTGGAGAGAATGGGTGGACACCGCGAAAGGTGGTGGATTTGGAATGTAGATGGTATTCACAATTGGGGGACGAAACACAATGCGATGGTATCGAGACGGTGAGATGAAGTCAATTGAAACAATGGAAACTATGGTGCTGACACTTTGCTGCGAGAGGATCAGACGCAGTTGAAAAAAGGCAGCAGTTTGACCAGACGTACGAATGAGGGTGACGCATGCTGTCTCCAGGGACGCGACAGCCCTTGTAGGTCGACACGTTAAGCTTCCAAAGGTCCCTCGAATTTGTCCGATTGCTTACCTTCCACTTACCTTCCTGCTTGGGCCTCGGGGCGGTTTTGGAGACGGCGAATATCTTAGCCGGCTCTGGAAGTAGACCTAGGGACGAATTGGATGGTATGGGATGTGCGCTGCGCTGCCGATGCTGGTGCCTGTTTGGCCTAACGTATCTGTGTTCGTATACTTAGAGTTAGGTAAATAGGGTCGTAGGTAAGCAAGCACGCAATTATGTGTGAAATCGATCTTGGGTATTTTCAGACCATGACTTTTTGTAGCTTCTTTCAAGCTTATTGATTCGTATTGAATGGCCTCTGGGTCCCGGAGCACTTTATTAATACTGCGTAAGTATCCAGACTTGCTGGAGAGACATGCGCCAAGAGGAAAGGAAAGGTACAGAAATGGGTACGTACTCCAACCACGCGGCCCCCCGGCTTCTTGAGCGAAAGCTTAGCTAAGCTGCGAAACGTACCTAAGGTACTCAGCAGGTCGTGGGACCCACTGGTCGGGTCGGGTACGTAGCGCGAATCCCAATCATCCAATCCCAGAGCCCCGAGGTCGGGTGGGTCAGTGTCGCTCCCCCGGAAGGAAACCGGACGGCCAACGGGAGAGTAGCCGACGAGGGGACCCACTCTTGGAGATGCCTCTAGGCGGGCGTCTTCTCTCGTTTGGTCATTTTAGGTGCATGTCCGAAGCGAACAAACACTCTCGACACTCAAAGTCATGCCATCATGCGATTTCTGGGCTGCCCACATGTTCATACCTAAGTCAGGACTCAGGACTCAGGACTCAGCCAACGCGGACGGTGTTCGTGGACCATTCACTTGGTCAATCACTTGAAGGCACTGGTCCCCGTCAACAGGAGCCTCCACCAAGCGAGTGATCCCGTGTAACCCCCACCAATCACCAAAACAGGCGTCTCCCTTGGTGTTCACTGGTCCCGTCCCATGTTTCCCGAGTCCGACTCACATCCCCCAGGGCCCCAGCTCTCCAAAAGTGCGCCAACCCCCCAAAGGACCCCCATTATTTACAGTGGCTCGGGATGGGTTCCTGCGATGGAGACATTGAAGAAAAATGCCACATTGTACTCCGTACACACGAACTGGTAACAAGCCAGAAATTTGTATGGCATGTCTTGCAAAGTTACCCAAGGCAAAGTATCTTATCTTGAGGTGTCAAAACAATGTCTACCTGTAAGTACCTACCTACTTTATGATTACTTGACTTTTAGCCAAGGTAAAGGTACGAAGTAGAGGTAGATACCTGTGGACATTCCTCGGGCCCCATCGTACCGACTATCTCCGACTTCGGTCTCCAGTAAGCTGAAATTTTCGAGCAACCATTCGTCCACCCTCATCCGTAGCACCATGGATGTGATACGGAATACCTTGCGGTAGTCCACTTTATTTTATCCCATGGCACTCTGCCAGTCCAGGGCTCTGCTGTTTTTTCCTCTCTGCCACGGACTACGGTCCCGTCCCGTCCCGGGGTCGCTTGTCTGACTCTGAGCTCCTCGAGACGGCCATAATTGGGCGCGTCGTGCCCGGCACAAAGGTCGCAAAAAAGCTGCGTCCCGGGCTGGTCTTGTTTTCTACTCTCTTCTTTGCCCATGGGATTTGTGTCCATAGTGTAGCTCTACCGTAGCTCTTGTCCTTTTTCGTCCTGGTCTTCCCTTGTTCTCTCTCCCATCTTCTAGTAGACCACTTTCCCCCATTACCTTTGGTTTTTTCCCCCGCCTCATCCTTCCTCTCGAGGTCAATTCCCCCCCAAAAGGGAACCTCTTTCATCCCATTCGTGTGTGTCGTCCCGTCCTTGGAGAGCTTCCTTAGCTTCCCCAAAACTCCGACCTTCGCGACGTCACCCACGCCGATACGTCACCTCCTCCAACCCCGAACCCGTCTATTGACATCACCCGTCGCAAACCGAACGTCGGGAAACCACCCGGTCCAGCGCAATCGCTGTCACCCCCCCGCCGCCTGCGAAATCGACTACCAGGAAACCCAACCGAAGCATCGCGAGAGCTTCAGCCTCCAACTTCTTCAAAGCTCCAACACACACACACATACAACTGCGCCCGCATGGCGGAACGAGACTCAAGACCACAAGGGCTTGCCGCCGCCGCCGCAGCCGCATCCGCACCAGTCACGCCAGACCTCAAGATCAACCCCCCAAGCCCGCTGGCGCTGGCCCAAAAAGTCGACATGGAGTCCAAAATGGGCGAGGCAAAGTCAGAATGGAACACCAAGAACCTGGGCTTCCGCCTCGGAGCCGACTTCTTCAGCGCAGCGTGCGCCGGCACCTTGGTCGCGCCCCTGGTCTCCATCATTGACCGGTAAGCAGCACTCTTCCCTCTCTTTCCAACTCTCCCACACCGTGAAGTGTACTCCAGAAACTGACTCTCGAATAGCTCCATCATGGAAAACGCCTCCGGCCGCCGTCCCCTAGGCGAATGCGTCCGCTCCTGCCTGAAAGAACTCCTCCTCCGCCCCCACGCCGTCGTCTTCTCCAAACCCTTCGCCCTCATCTTCGCCCTCTACGGCGGCACCTACCTCACGGCAAACACCCTCGACACCGCCTCCTCCACCGTCCACAACACGCCAGCCTCGTCCGTGACTTCGGGCACCGCCAAATTCGCCGCCTCGAGCACCGCAAACATCGGCATCTGCATGTACAAAGACCAAGTCTTTGCGCGCATGTTCGGCCCCCCCGGCGCCACGCCCCGCCCCGTACCGATGCTCACCTACGCGCTCTTCACGCTGCGCGACTGCATGACCATCTTCGCGAGCTTCAACGTCCCGCCGAGACTGGGCCCCTGGCTGAACGAGCGGATGGGCGAGGAGATGAGGAAGAAGGTGAGCGGGTTGACCGTCGTGCAGTTCGCCGCGCCGGCCATGGTGCAGCTCGCCAGCACGCCGCTGCATCTACTCGGGTTGGACGTGTATAACCGGCCCAACGCCGCTGCTACCCCTGTGTCGTGGCAGAACCGGTGGCAGTCTGTGGCCAAGAATTGGGGTATCAGCACCATGGCGAGAATCTGCCGTATTATCCCGGCGTATGGTGTTGGTGGAGTCGTGAACCGCAAGGTGAGGTTGAGTCTCATGGAGAGGGCGGAGAAGTGAAAGGATCCGAGTACATGAGCCTGCGTCCCCCTTTTACCTCTTTGGAATGTGGTTTTCCCGATCAAGAGCTGCCTGACGGGTGGCCAGATGACTTGTTTTTATGTTTATTGAGAACCTCCCTCTTTGGCATTGGTTCACATGGGGCGGCGTTTCCGGGTTTCTTCTTTTTTTTGGCATTAGATGGGTTCAAGACATTGGGAGGCGGTATCAACCCAGGCCGCCGGGTTCAAGGAAACTGGGCATCTGACATAGAGACGACAGACCGGGAGAAACCCCCAAAGCACACACACGTACACATCAACACACACACAAAGACACACTTGTAGAATAGTAATGCGCGCTCTAATCGTCTGCAAATCGCGCCAGCCAGGTCGACCCTAGCACGAGATAGATATATATTCAGGATTCAGTGTCACACACAACAGCTAGCTTTCCGCAATGTCACATCAACCCACTCTCTCTAAGCGCCTTCATGACCTCGTCCTCTTCGCGATGCTTCCTGCGCCGGCGGTGCTTCACATCGCCAACATCAATGTAATTCTTCCAGAACTTGAGCCCCTCGATGCCGTCCTCGCGACAGACCACGCCCCTTTCCTCAGCCATCTCCAGCTCCTCCTCCGCCACGCCAATGCTCCAGCCGAAGCGCTCCGCCGCATCCCGCGCCGTCACCCCGCGGCCAAACTGTCGCCAGTCCCACGCCAGCTCCTTGTCCGGCGGGAACTCGTGCAAGTCGTCCAGCCAGGACACCAGCGCCCTGATGGTGGTCTCGTCGGTGCGATCGCTACTCTGTACGACAAGCACACCGCTCTTGAACTTTCGCAGCCGGACGGGCAGTCTGAGTGACTCCCACATCTGCGAGGCCTTTTCGAAGTCCATGGGGCTCACGAGCTCGACGCCGCCCCGGGCGCGGTTGAACATGGCCCACAGGTCAACCAAGTTGATGATCCCGCCCGCCTTTTTTAAAACACCCCGCGCGTCGTCTGTGAGGAACTCTGCAAGATTCCTCGACAACTCGGACAGATACAGCGTCTCGGAGCTGCTCCCGCCTACAATATCCTTGGTCGTCACGAGACCGAGCTGGCTGGCCGATTCGGCTAGCAGAGCGTTGGCCTCGGCGCCCGTCCCGCCATTCTGTCGCGCAAACCTCTCCGCCAGGGCCACAATCTCCTTGGCGGAGGCCATTAGGGCGTCCAGGTCCTCGAACGCGCTGCCAATCATCACCTCGTTGTTCTTGCGCATGTCGAGCCCGCGCTGCTCCAGACCCGCGATACCCACGCCCTTGGGACGTTCGGGGACCGCCGCGGGTGCGCGTACGAGTGCGCCGTTGTCGTCTATCGTGCGATTGCTCTTGGGTACCGGCGGCGCGCCCTGCAGAAGCCACTTGCGCTGTGTCAACGCGCCCTTGAGCCGCTCGTAGAATATCTTCTCTCCGCCTCCGCGGAAGGAAATTTTGATGTTCTCGGCGGTATCCTGGCCAGGCGAGGACGTCGTGAGGACCGGGCCTGGAGACTCTGTCCTTTGCGTCTGCACCTGGGTGACGACTGCTTGGGGCAGATCTTGCGATATGAGGGGTGCCCCGCACATCTCGCATGACAGCAGGGACGGGTGATTTGAGAACGTGCATCGAGGGCATTGGAACGTCGCGCTTGGATCTGATGGCTTCGGTGGGGCGCCGCCGTTGATGTTCGAGGCCGCTGGCCAGGGAGGCGGAGGCCCCGCGTTGTCGTCGGGCCTGTTGGAGGTCGACCGAGGGCGCATCGCGAGGGGCGAGCTGACTGTTGGGCTCGAAGGGGTGGCCGGCGGGGCGCGGCTGGTCGCATTCGATATAGAAGCCTTCAAAACGTGCGCCAACGTCGGCTTGATGCCGCAAGCAAGACATGGTGGCAGCGGGGTGTGTATGTTTGCCGTAGTTGGGTCAAAGTTTGACGGGACCGGGTTGGAGAAGCTGCAGATGGTGCAAACCCAGGTTGCTGCGCTTGCTGGTTCGGGCGGCGGTCGGTAGGGACCATCGGCTCGAGCTGGTGACCCTGCGCCATTTCTCCCAGGTGTAGATATCGCAGACGCTCTAGTCTGGAGCGACGAGCGTTTTATTGGCTTGGGAATCAGGGTGATCTTCGCAGAAGATTTCAGGAACCCCGCGTAGAACTCATATCGATCAATGTCTTTCAGATCTAGGGCAACGGAGTGCTTGCGCGGCTCGTCCTTGTCGACGTAGCAGATTCGGTGGGACGTCAAGTACACCTGACCATTTTGCTGTTGAGGTAATTTGAACTTCCTAGACAAAGAGGAGAGCTAATTAGTGTACTGGTACATGGTGAGAAGCGTAGGATGGGGTTCAAGCCTCGTCGTATTTACCCTTCATAGAGCCCGACGTTGTCCTGGACGAACAACAAGACTTCATCCGGTAGGTAGGAAGGCCGGAGAGCGGTCGTGAGGTCGATTTGTTTTAGAAACATCCGTCATATTATTCACGAGCGTACTGAGGATATTGAAGCTCGCGCAGAACTGGGGTTTGGTTGGGAGGTGTCAAAGTATGGCAGGGGCTATTGGCCGCGGTTTGTCGCATACGTCAGGAACAGTCTCGGGCTGGTTCGAGGAGGGGATCGGAAGCCGGGTTCGCAGCTATTTCAAGGATTGCGCATGATTCGAGGGTAGAAGAGGAGAACTCCACAGGTTTTGAGACACCAAACAAAGTTCAGTTGATCGTTGTTGGGGCTGAAGGAACTCAACCAACAGCTCCTATGCCAGGCGTCAGTTTATCTCTCTCGTAACACAACTGCCCCACGGAGAAGCAACGGTCGAGTGGAGGGGGAACTGGACATTGAAGGTGGGATGTCGCCGACCCACTATAGCGATAGTCCCCTTTTGTTGCTAGCGGTGTGCATCAGGGTGCAGTGGTGCACCTAGGCATGATGCATTAGGTAATCATCGAGGTGGCACTCCTGTGCCAGTGACAACCAAAGGTTCTGGCCACAAGGCACAAGGGCACTGTTTGGCTCGGATCCCCACTATTATTACCTGAAATCCCGCACACGGGCCACCGTCATTTTGTTACCGCCCTCACCTTTCACGGCTTCTTCCCAACCTCACTTGATCTTTCCCCCCTTCCACCACCACCACCACCGCGTCTTCGACTGTTCGACATTTCCACGCCTTTTTCAGTCGGCCTCAACCACGAAAGATCGATAGATATACTTGTTCTGACCGATCAAGACTAATTTTCGATCCAGAAATATTCAAGATCGATCCTCACAGCTCTCACAATGATGCCCACTAGCTGGCCTCCGGCACCGCCTCCAGGCATTGCCTACGGAGCACCTCCCGCCAACTATGCTTACCCTCCCAGTGAGTTTTCCTCCTCTCAGACTGACTGTGTTCTGATCTGATTTACTAATCCTATTTTTTTCTCTTTCTAGATCCAGCATACACCGCAGTCCAGGCTCGACAAAGCTTCGGCCAGTATCCTCCCCCACCCGCTGCACCTGCCTACAGTACTTCGCCGCCTCCCTTGGCTGCTCCCTTCGACCAAGCTGCTCCTGTTGCTCCTGCCCCGGCTCCACGAAAGGTTGAATGGCCACCCTCCGTCCGCGATTACGTCCAACGGTCTTTCCTGCCTCACAACATGGACCCCTCCGTGCCACGCCCCGAGATTGAAGCCAAGTTGAAGGAGACCATTTCCCAGCACATGGAGAACGGCACTCTCGAGTCAACCGACTGGGAGAAGATGCCATTTCCCTCCGATCTGATCCGAAACGAGCGCCAGTCCCAGCTCAACTCCGCTATGAACGTCTCATCTCCATTTGCATCGCGATATGATGGTTCAATGTCTGCCAACCCCAAGAAGAGAAAGTCGTCTGATTTTACCCCGGATGAAAAGTCTTCTGCCGTGCCTTGGCGTACTACTAACAGCAACCGATCCAACGCACTGGAAGACCGAATCACCTTCGCCTCCCCCGACAAACGCGCCAACCTCGATGAGCCACTGCCCAAGTCAAGTAAGTTCCAGAAGCAGTTGGAGAAACGTCAACGCCGCTTCGATGGCGGCTACAAATCCTCGTACCGATCGCCTAGCCCTCCGCCCTCTGATGGACCCGTCGTCGGCACCAGCGAAACTTTGGAGAAGCGCTACCTGCGTCTGACCGCTCCTCCCGTGGCCTCCATGGTTCGGCCCGAGCGCGTCCTTCACAAGACGATGGATCTCCTGAAGAAGAAGTGGAAGAAGGAGGGCAACTACTCTTACATCTGCGACCAGCTGAAATCCATGCGGCAAGATCTGACAGTGCAGCGGATCAAGAACGACTTCACAGTCACCGTTTACGAACTCCACGCTCGTATTGCGTTGGAGAAGGGGGACCTTGGTGAGTATAATCAGTGCCAAACCCAGCTGCGTACTCTGTACGCAAAGGGACTGAAAGGAAACCCCATCGAGTTCAAGGCATATCGCATTTTGTACTTTATTCACACTGCCAACCGTACCGGCCTGAATGATGCCTTGGCAGATCTAACCACAGCAGAGAAGGAGGAGCGACCCATCAAGCATGCGCTCCAGGTGCGGTCCGCTCTCGCCTTGGGTAACTACCACAAGTTCTTCCAGCTTTACCTGGACACCCCTAACATGGGTGCGTACCTCATGGACATGTTCGTCGTTCGTGAGCGCCTAGCTGCTCTGTGCAACATTTGCAAAGCGTAAGTTCAATCTCTGACCATAGTTTGGCATCACCTTACTAACTTGGACATAGATACAAGCCAGACGTAAAGTTACGGTTCATCACGGAGGAACTCGGCTTCGAGTCCGACGTTGATGCGGCTCAATTCATTGTCGACTACAATGGTCAGCATCTGCTCGAGGAACGACAAGAGTCTATTGCTCTCTTGACCGGCAAAGCCGGAGCCCTCTTCGACTCCGCCAGAAGCGAGGCTTTCCGCAAGGTTGACATCAAAGGACAGATATGAATTCCTCGTCATCTCTGTTCTCATCACAAATTGCTCTACACAACTTC